ATGGGGAATGTGTCAAAGAGACAACAACCCGACCATAGAGCAGACAACAGCCGAAGGCCACCAATGGGTCTTCAATGCAGCGAGAACTCCCGCACCTGGAGGCGTCCTTCAGCTGGCCCCTAAACAAATATGTATACTAGTTCAGTGATAATAGACGTCATACTAAACTCCAAATTATACACAAGAAACTAAAATTAAAAATGATACAAGACTAACAAAGGCCAGAGGCTCCTGACTCGGGACAGGCGCAAAAATGCTGCGGGTTTAAACATGTTTTTTGAGATCTCAACCCTCCCCTATACCTCTAGCCAATGTAGAAAAAAAAACGCACAACAGTACGCACAGTAAAACTCAGTTTAAGAGAAGTCCGAGTCCGATGTCAGAATAGGAAACAAAAGAAAATAAACAAAATGACAATAATACATAAATAACAACAGACTACTAGCAGTTACTGACATGCCAGCTCCAGACATCAATTAAACTGATTGAAAGATTATGTCTTCATCATATGAATATCAGGCACAATCCCTCCTGTTAGGGGTTTAGTATTATACCATCATAAAATATATGAAAAGAACATAACCCGTGTCATGCCACAAATGGTTTTAGAATAAATATGTTTAATTCCGATGCAAAGACCCTATAAGTGAATCAATATTAAAGCCAAAATATGCAATCTTTAATGACCTGACAACAGTATCGTAACTATATCCCTTCTTAATAAGTCTGTTTAAAGGTTTTGTTAGCTTTTGAGGTGAATACTGACATTTTTGTGCTTTGTAAAGAATATTACCATAAAAGTTTGGATGTGAAATACCCGAACGTATAAGATGTCTGCATGTTGAGTTATATTTACGAATGATGTCCTTATACCGATGATAAAATTTAGTAAATGTTTTGACTAGTTTATGATATCGAAAACCCTGGTGTAATAATTTTTCAGTAATACATAAATTTCTCTCGCTAAAATCTAATACGTTGTTACATACACGAGCGAATCGTACAAGTTGAGATATATAAACACCATAAGATGGTGACAAGGGAACGTCACCATCTAAAAATGGATAATTAACGATAGGAAATGAAAAATCATCTCTTTTATCATAAATTTTTGTATTAAGCTTCCCGTTAATGATATAGATATCAAGATCGAAGAAAGGACAGTGGTCATGGTTAGTATTAGCTTTATTTAAAGTAAGTTCAACAGGATAAATTTCTTTAGATGTCAGCTTCTCCGGAAGGGTAAAAGAGAGGCGAAGGATGCATACCAAAGGGTAAGCAGATCCTGCACCAAATGTGGCACCTGTCTTGTTGCTCATGACATTGTAATGATACTATATACGAAATATAAATGAATTATAACTAAAAACTGAACAGAATCACTTGACAAAAAAAAATGAAAATGATATCAAGGACAATTTACATATGGCAGACGGAAACTTCGTTATTTAAGTTTACTTTCTGATATACAATCTGTACATAAAGAGATAACACTGCCTCCGTATTAGCATCCGTATGTCTCGCATCCTACAACATGTTTCGCAAACGAGACAAAAATCTTGTGCACAATCCAAAAAAAAATACAAATATTTCATTATGAAAATAGTATTTTTAATTCAAATCTATTAAACAAAAGAAAAATAATTTACGTTTGGTAAATGTTTATTGATTCAATATTTATTTGACATGCTTCAGTGAATATTTGTGGAAATCAAATTTTATGTTTACCAATCCACATTCTGTTTGTAGTGTTTTAGTTGTGTTGTCAAACCGATAAAGATTACATGCGTACCGCAAAAATCCAGCCTCTTTTAGAGAATGATAAATCTGTAGAAGGTCCACATAGTTGCTTGTATCAGCATTATTTTGAAAAATATGGAACTCTATATTTAGTTGTCGAATTCTTGATGTAAGATTATCATCACTAAAAATATTTTTAAGGACTTCCCATTCATACGCCTCAATGTCCACTTTTAAGATATCCAAATGTCTCTGAAACAGATTGAAACAATATGTTTTGGTTGAAATAAGATTAAAGACGTATGATATTATGTCACTCGCTTTGGGTCTCCATTTAAAAAAAAGGAAATTAGTAAGAAAGTTAAGGTTTTCCCCCCAAGCAACTTTGACCTAAGATTCATTTGGCTATTCTATTTATCTACCTTTTTGTCATAAATCTCCTCCTAAGATTCATGTGGCTATTCCATTTATCTACCTTTTTGTCATAAAGCTCCTCCTAAGATTCATTTGGCTATTCTATTTATCTACCTTTTTTGTCATAAAGCTCCTCCTAAGATTCATTTGGCTATTCTATTTATCTACCTTTTGGTCATAAAGCTCCTCCTAAGATTCATTTGGCTATTCTATTTATCTACCTTTTTGTCATATAGCTCCTCCTAAGATTCATTTGGCTATTCTATTTATCTACCTTTTGGTCATAAAGCTCCTAAGATTCATTTGGCTATTCTATTTATCTACCTTTTGGTCATAAAGCTCCTCCTAAGATTCATTTGGCTATTCTATTTATCTACCTTTTGGTCATATAGCTCCTCCAGTATTCAAATATTTATTTTTATATGAACCTTACCAGGAGGGATGTGTACACCTCACAATTATTCCAAGTACCCACCTACCAAATATAGTGATCATATTACTTATAATAAGCGAGAAATTCACGTGATAGGAAACTTTACATTTTTTATGAAAATGTGGACAAGGACATTAGACAAACGGAAACTACAGAACAGAAGGCACACGTATAGGAATGATTTTTCTAGGTCTTCTACCTTCTGAAATATTAAGCTTTATACAAACTGTGTATGCCGAATCGGATAAGTACATCTTTGCTCTTTGTCTCGCAGTCTGTGACGTAAGGCGCAGACGATACAAAAAAGACGAAAATACAATGAACGGACAAACAACACTACACAGAAAACGGCATCTATGTGTAATTTGTCAACACTTATTTTACAATTCGAAATTTTAATCTGCTATGAATTTAACACGAAACCCTTAAAAAGCTACATTTTGGTAATTTTTAAACCCTAAGCTTTTATTCTTAGTAACTACGAGACTGTGAGTATTTTTCATGCAATCATTTATAATATCGACTCAATGTCTGCCTGGATGACTGGTCATAAAGGAGAAAACAGTGAGTCTATGGAATTTTAAAATCAGGCCTGAAATTAGGCCAACAGTCTATCAATACAATCATACTCACAGGTACTGAGTAGCTATAGTCTATTAACAACCATACTCACAGTTAATGAGTAGCTATAGTCTATTAACTAACCATACTCACAGGTAATGAGTAGCTATAGTCTATTAACAACCATACTCACAGGTAATGAGTAGCTATAGTCTATCAACACAACCATACTCACAGGTAACGTGTAGCTGTAGTCTATTAACAACCATACTCACAGGTTATGAGGAGCTATAGTCTATCAACACAACCATACTCACAGGTAATGAGTAGCTTTAGTCTATTAACAACCATACTCACAGGTAATGAGTAGCTATAGTCTATCAACACAACCATACTCACAGGTAATGAGTAGCTTTAGTCTATTAACAACCATACTCACAGGTAATGAGTAGCTATAGTCTATCAACACAATCATCCTCACAGTTAATGAGTAGCTATAGTCTATTAACTAACCATACTCACAGGTAATGAGTAGCTATAGTCTATTAACAACCATACTCACAGGTAATGAGTAGCTATAGTCTATCAACACAACCATACTCACAGGTAACGTGTAGCTGTAGTCTATTAACAACCATACTCACAGGTTATGAGGAGCTATAGTCTATCAACACAACCATACTCACAGGTAATGAGTAGCTTTAGTCTATTAACAACCATACTCACAGGTAATGAGTAGCTATAGTCTATCAACACAACCATACTCACAGGTAATGAGTAGCTTTAGTCTATTAACAACCATACTCACAGGTAATGAGTAGCTATAGTCTATCAACACAATCATCCTCACAGGTAATGAGTAGCTTTAGTCTATTAACAACCATACTCACAGGTAATGAGTAACTATAGTCTATTAACAACCATACTCACAGGTAATGAGTAGCTATAGTCTATTAACAACCATACTCACAGGTAATGAGTAGCTATAGTCTATCAACACAACCATACTCACAGGTAACGAGTAGCTGTAGTCTATTAACAACCATACTCACAGGTTATGAGTAGCTATAGTCTATCAACACAACCATACTCACAGGTAATGAGTAACTATAGTCTATTAACAACCATACTCACAGGTTATGAGTAGCTATAGTCTATTAACAACCATACTCACAGGTAATGAGTAGCTATAGTCTATTAACAACCATACTCACAGGTAATGAGTAGCTATAGTCTATCAACACAATGATACTCACAGGTAATGAGTAGCTTTAGTCTATTAACAACCATACTCACAGGTAATGAGTAACTATAGTCTATTAACAACCATACTCACAGGTAATGAGTAGCTATAGTCTATTAACAACCATACTCACAGGTAATGAGTAGTTATAGTCTATTAACAACCATACTCACAGGTAATGAGTAGCTATACTCTATTAACAACCATACTCACAGGTAATGAGTAGCTATAGTCTATTAACAACCATACTCACAGGTAATGAGTATAACAATCTACTAGATATTTACAGGGATGTTAGTATTCATAAAAGCTAAGCCTCATGTATTATGTTTATTTTCTAGCAATATGTTTTAGTCAAACAACAATTGTCTTGGCAGGGGGTTGATTTTAAAATCCAACACAATTCAAATTAATCAAATCACTATAAGCAGAGGCTGATCCAGCCATTTTTAAAAAGAGGGAGGTCCAACACCTACAAGTCATATGAAAAGGGGGTTCCAACCATATGTCCCCATACAAAAGCATTAGTTGTCAAACATGACATCAAACATAGGTAAAGCCTATGCTGGCATGACATGAAAGGCTGTGTTGCTTGTAATTAAACTTTTCTTAGTTTTGACCTTCTTGAAATATTTTACAACTTACATCCTCATGGCCTAACAATTCAATTAATTGACGCAGTGTTCGCACTTTCCACATCTTCTTTGGATCTTTTTTCGTATACTGATCCATTCTTGGAATAACAGCGTCATTAGATTTCCATCCTATAACAGCGTCATTAGATTTCCCTCCTATAACAGCGTCATTAGATTTCCCTCCTATAACAGCATCATTAGATTTCCCTCCTATAACAGCATCATTAGATTTCCCTCCTATAACAGCGTCATTAGATTTCCCTCCTATAACAGCGTCATTAGATTTCCCTCCTATAACAGCGTCATTAGATTTCCCTCCTATAACAGCGTCATTAGATTTCCCTCCTATAACAGCTTCATTAGATTTCCCTCCTATAACAGCATCATTAGATTTCCCTCCTATAACAGCGTCATTAGATTTCCCTCCTATAACAGCGTCATTAGATTTCCCTCCTATAACAGCGTCATTAGATTTCCCTCCTATAACAGCATCATTAGATTTCCCTCCTATAACAGCATCATTAGATTTCCCTCCTATAACAGCGTCATTAGATTTCCATCCTATAACAGCATCATTAGATTTCCCTCCTATAACAGCATCATTAGATTTCCCTCCTATAACAGCGTCATTAGATTTCCATCCTATAACAGCATCATTAGATTTCCCTCCTATAACAGCATCATTAGATTTCCCTCCTATAACAGCGTCATTAGATTTCCCTCCTATAACAGCATCATTAGATTTCCCTCCTATAACAGCATCATTAGATTTCCCTCCTATACCAATTGGATGAAAATGAACTCACGTTTTTCGAATATGTTTTGCTGTATTTCCCATGCTACAATAGAAAATAATGGTATCCGAATCTATTTTCTCTTTTAAATTTTCACATCGCGACTGAATACGCCATTAGCTTTTGATATGTTCTACCGGCATTAGTAGGGAATAACGTTAGGGACTGAGAAAGCCAACTCATTTTGACATGTTCTTGGTACAAACGATTGACTGTCGTAATCATGACGTTGTTGAGACGACTAACCATTATAGTGCTGACTTGGAACAGACGTTTAAAAATCATATTCATGACTTTGGAACAGACAATTGACTATCATACTCATGACCTGGTACACAAGTTGACCAAGATACTCATTACTTGGCACAAACGATTTACTATCATACTCATGACTTTGAACACACGATTGACTATCATACTCATGACTTGGTACAGACGATTGACTATCATGCTCATGACTAGGGACAGACGATTGACTATCATACTCATGACTAGGGACAGACGCTTGACTATCATACTCATGACCTGGTACAGACGCTTGACTATCATACTCATGACTTGGTACAGACGATTGACTATCATGCTCATGACTAGGGACAGACGATTGACTATCATACTCATGACTTGGAACAAACGATTGACTATCATACTCATGACCTGGTACAGACGATTGACTATCGTATTTATGACCTGGTTCAAGACCTGATTAACTATCATGCTCATGACTTCGTATAGACGATTGACTTATACTCATGACCTGAAACAGACGATTGACTATCATATTCATGACGTGGTACATACAATTGACTATCATACTCATGACCTGGTACACACAATTGACTATAATACTTATGACCTAATAAAGACGATTGATTTTCATACTCATGACCTGATACAGACGATTTACTATCAAGTCTGTACAGACGATTGACTATCATACTCATAACCTGGTACAGACAATTGAATATCATACTCATAACCTGGTAAAGACAATTGAATAGCATACTCATAACCTGATACAGACGATTGACTATCATACTCATGACTTGAGACAGACGATTAACTATCATACTCATGACTAGGGACAGACGATTGACTATCATACTAATGACTAGGGACAGACGATTGACAATCCTACTCATGACCAGGGAAAGAAGATTGACTATCATACCCATGACCTGGTACAGACGATTGACTATCATACTCACGACCTGGTACAGACGATTAACAATCATACTCATGACTAGGGACAGACGATTGACTATCATACTAATGACTAGGGACAGACGATTGACTATCCTACTCATGACCAGGGAAAGACGATTGACTATCATACCCATGACCTGGTACATACGATTGACTTTCATACTCATGACCTGGTACAGAAGATTGACTATTATACTCAAGATCTGGTCCAAGATCTGATAAACTATCATTCTCATGACTTGGTTCAGACGATTTGCTATCATACTCACGACTTGGTACAGACGATCGACTATCATACTCATGACCTGGTACAGATGATTGACTTTCATACTCATGACCTGGTAGTACACACGATTGACTATCCTACTCATGACCTGGTACAGACGTTTGACTATTATACTCATGACATGGTACAGACGATTGACTATCATACTCATGACCTGGTTCAAGATCTGATTAACTATCATGCTCATGACTTCGTATAGACGATTGACTTATACTCATGACCTGAAACAGACGATTGACTATCATATTCATGACGTGGTACATACAATTGACTATCATACTCATGACCTGGTACACACAATTGACTATAATACTTATGACCTAATAAAGACGATTGATTTTCATACTCATGACCTGATACAGACGATTTACTATCAAGTCTGTACAGACGATTGACTATCATACTCATAACCTGGTACAGACAATTGAATATCATACTCATAACCTGGTAAAGACAATTGAATAGCATACTCATAACCTGATACAGACGATTGACTATCATACTCATGACTTGAGACAGACGATTAACTATCATACTCATGACTAGGGACAGACGATTGACTATCATACTAATGACTAGGGACAGACGATTGACTATCCTACTCATGACCAGGGAAAGACGATTGACTATCATACCCATGACCTGGTACAGACGATTGACTATCATACTCACGACCTGGTACAGACGATTAACTATCATACTCATGACTAGGGACAGACGATTGACTATCATACTTATGACTAGGGACAGACGATTGACTATCCTACTCATGACCAGGGAAAGACGATTGACTATCATATACCCATGACCTGGTACATACGATTGACTTTCATACTCATGACCTGGAACAGAAGATTGACTATTATACTCAAGATCTGGTCCAAAATCTGAAAAACTATCATTCTCATGACTTGGTTCAGACGATTTGCTATCATACTCATGACCTGGTACATACGATCGACTATCATACTCATGACCTGGTACAGACGATTGACTTTCATGCTCATGACTAGGGACAGACGATTGACTATCATACTCATGACTTGGAACAAACGATTGACTATCATACTCATGACCTGGTACAGACGATTGACTATCGTATTTATGACCTGATTCAAGACCTGGTTAACTATCATGCTCATGACTTCGTATAGACGAGTGACTTATACTCATGACCTGAAACAGACGATTGACTATCATATTCATGACGTGGTACATACAATTGACTATCATACTCATGACCTGGTACACACAATTGACTATAATACTTATGACCTAATAAAGACGATTGATTTTCATACTCATGACCTGATACAGACGATTTACTATCAAGTCTGTACAGACGATTGACTATCATACTCATAACCTGGTACAGACAACTGAATATCATACTCATAACCTAGTAAAGACAATTGAATAGCATACTCATAACCTGATACAGACGATTGACTATCATACTCATGACTTGAGACAGTCGATTAACTATCATACTCATGACTAGGGACAGACGATTGACTATCATACTAATGACTAGGGACAGACGATTGACTATCCTACTCATGACCAGGGAAAGACGATTGACTATTATGTCCATGACCTGGTACAGACGATTGACTATCATACTCACGACCTGGTACAGACGATTAACTATCATACTCATGACTAGGGACAGACGATTGACTATCCTACTCATGACCAGTGAAAGACGATTGACTATCATATACCCATGACCTGGTACATACGATTGACTTTCATACTCATGACCTGGTACAGAAGATTGACTATTATACTCAAGATCTGGTCCAAGATCTGATAAACTATCATTCTCATGACTTGGTTCAGACGATTTGCTATCATACTCATGACTTGGTACATACGATCGACTATCATACTCATGACCTGGTACAGACGATTGACTATCATGCTCATGACTAGGGACAGACGATTGACTATCATACTCATGACTTGGAACAAACGATTGATTATCATACTCATGACGTGGTACATACAATTGACTATCATACTCATGACCTGGTACACACAATTGACTATAATACTTATGACCTAATAAAGACGATTGATTTTCATACTCATGACCTGATACAGACGATTTACTATCAAGTCTGTACAGACGATTGACTATCATACTCATAACCTGGTACAGACAATTGAATATCATACTTATAACCTGGTAAAGACAATTGAATAGCATACTCATAACCTGATACAGACGATTGACTATCATACTCATGACTTGCGACAGACGATTAACTATCATACTCATGACTAGGGACAGACGATTGACTATCATACTAATGACTAGGGACAGACGATTGACTATCCTACTCATGACCAGGGAAAGACGATTGACTATCATACCCATGACCTGGTACAGACGATTGACTATCATACTCACGACCTGGTACAGACGATTAACTATCATACTCATGACTAGGGACAGACGATTGACTATCATACTAATGACTAGGGACAGACGATTGACTATCCTACTCATGACCAGGGAAAGACGATTGACTATCATATACCCATGACCTGGTACAAACGATTGACTTTCATACTCATGAACTGGTACAGAAGATTGACTATTATACTCAAGATCTGATAAACTATCATTCTCATGACTTGGTTCAGACGATTTGCTATCATACTCATGACTTGGTACAGACGATCGACTATCATACTCATGACCTGGTACAGACGATTGACTTTCATACTCATGACCTGGTAGTACACACGATTGACTATCCTACTCATGACCTGGTATAGACGTTTGACTATTATACTCATGACATGGTACAGACGATTGACTATCATACTCATGACCTGGTTCAAGACCTGATTAACTATCATGCTCATGACTTCGTATAGACGATTGACTTATACTCATGACCTGAAACAGACGATTGACTATCATATTCATGACGTGGTACATACAATTGACTATCATACTCATGACCTGGTACATACAATTGACTATAATACTTATGACCTAATAAAGACGATTGATTTTCATACTCATGACCTGGTACAGACGAATACTAATGACTAGAGACAGACGATTGACTATCATACTCGTTAGGGACAGACGATTAACTATCATACTCATGACTAGGGACAGACGATTGACTATCATACTAATGACTAGGGACAGACGATTGACTATCCTACTCATGACCAGGGAAAGACGATTGACTATCATACCCATGACCTGGTACATACGATTGACTATCATACTCATGACCTGGTACAGACGATTAACTATCATACCTATGACTTAGTACCCACGATTGACTATCATACTCATGACTAGGGACAGACGATTGACTATCATACTCATGACTTGGTATAGCTGATTGACTATCATACTCATGACTTAGTACACACGATTGACTTTCATACTCATTACCTGGTACAGACGATTGACTATTATACTCATGACCTGGTACAGACGTTTGACTATTATACTCATGACATGGTACAGACGATTGACTATCATACTCATGACCTGGTTCAAGACCTGATTAACTATCATGCTCATGACTTCGTATAGACGATTGACTTATACTCATGACCTGAAACAGACGATTGACTATCATATTCATGACGTGGTACATACAATTGACTATCATACTCATGACCTGGTACATACAATTGACTATAATACTTATGACCTAATAAAGACGATTGATTTTCATACTCATGACCTGGTACAGACGAATACTAATGACTAGAGACAGACGATTGACTATCATACTCGTTAGGGACAGACGATTAACTATCATACTCATGACTAGGGACAGACGATTGACTATCATACTAATGACTAGGGACAGACGATTGACTATCCTACTCATGACCAGGGAAAGACGATTGACTATCATACCCATGACCTGGTACATACGATTGACTATCATACTCATGACCTGGTACAGACGATTAACTATCATACCTATGACTTAGTACCCACGATTGACTATCATACTCATGACTAGGAACAGACGATTGACTATCATACTCATGACTTGGTATAGCTGATTGACTATCATACTCATGACTTAGTACACACGATTGACTTTCATACTCATTACCTGGTACAGACGATTGACTATTATACTCATGACTAGGGACAGACGATTGACTATCATACTGATGATCTGGTACAGACGATTGACTATTATACTCATGACTAGGGACAGACGATTGACTATCATACTCATGACCTGGTACAGATGATTGACTATCATACTCATGACCTGGTACAGACGATTGACTATCATACTCATGACAGTACACACGATTGACTAACATACTCATGACCTGCTACAGACGATTGACTATAATTTTCAAGACCTTGTACAGACACTTGCAAAAATGTATTTGGTTGGTCCAGATTCCATTGCCCGCCAAACCTATAAATTGTTCGACCCACATTTCAGTTCAAATTTTCAACCCAAGAAGTACGTTACGGTACATCTCTCACTTCAGCAGGGAATCTGTAAGGGTTTTGTCAAAACGAGTCTGGCATGCAATCTTGAATTGGAATAAAGTTTCTGATCAGTTAAGTTATTAATGCGTGTTTATCCGACGCGAAAAAACTGAAAACGACATCAAATAGTTGTTATCTATTTCCAATCAATCAGCTGTGCCGAAAGTACATGACAC